AAGACTGATAGGTTCTGGGTTTGAATACTGTGAGCAGGATCGTGAATGCGCACTACTGAGCAGTCCCACAATAGGACGAAACGGCTGTCCAGTGATTCCAGGTTTTCCATTGCGGTCTAGCTGCAATTCACTCATGATCTCAACTGTTGAAATGAAATTATCATCGAAATATAGCAGTTACTATTGACGTAACAGTCATGGATGTCTCCCAGCTTGAATAGGACAATGTGTATTATCTTGGCACACCTGTGTAACAGCGAACATCTGGTAAATAAAGTCGACTCTTTTCAAGAGATCTATGCTGTACCTTTATCATTCTCCAATTGAGTTTGGTCTTCTATCCTACGTATTATAGAAGGTACAAGAATTTTAATCTTTAATCTTAGTTTGCACATTGAAAAGAAATTCCTAACAATATTATCCCTTCCTTAACCGGACATGACTTGATGAATGATTTCATTAATTTCTCGGCTTTTCTTCTCATCTTTTTTTTCCTGTTTATATTCTTCAGTATCTAATTCTTTACAACCTTCTTATTGAGTAACTATAATAACGTTTTGTGTCTACTACTTTGAATGTGATCAACTTCGTATCACTATCTTCAGTACATTTGTCTCCTTACTATCAATTTGTACTTTTTACTTATGGTCAGATGGACAGATGCAGTCTAAGTAAGGACCGGATTCAGACAAGGCTGTCTACTCTCCCCCTTCTTCTGGTGGTCGACTGGATTATGAAAACATCGACATCTGAGGGAAAACACAACATACAATGAACAGCTCAGAACAAATTTGACGATTTGGAACTCACAGATCACCTAGCCCTCCTATCGCATACACACGAACAAATGCAGATAAAGATAGCCAGTGTAGCAGCAGTCTATGCATCAGTAGGCCTCAGCATACACAACGGGGAAACCAACGTCCTCAAATACAACACGGAGAACACAAACCCCAACACACTTGATGGCCAAACTATGGAAGATGTAGAATGCTTCACATAACTGGGAAGCATAATCGTTGAACAAGGAGGATCAGATGCAAACGTGAAAGTGAGCAATGGCAAAGCGAGGACCACATTCCTACAATTGAATAACATATGGAACTCAAAACAACTATCTGTCAACCATTATCAAAGTCACAATATTCAATACGAACGTCAAGATAGTTAGTTCTACTGTACAGAGCTGAAACTTCGAGAACAACTACAACCACCGTCAAGAATGTACAAGTATTTATAAATAGTTGTCTACACAATATACTCATCATCCATTGGCCGGATACCATCAGTAACATCCTACTATGGGAGAGAACAAACCAGCTTCCAACTGAAGAGGAAATTCAGAAAAAGGATGGAAATGGATGGGAGATACATTACACAAATCATCAAACTACATCACGAGGCAAGCGCTAACTTGGAATCGCGAGAGACGGAAAAGTGGAAGTCCAAAGAACACATTACGTCGGATAATAGAATCAGATATGAAAAGGATGAATAACAACTGGGAAGAACTGGAAAGAATTGTCAAGGACAGGGTTGGATGGAGAATGCTGGTGGTTGGCCTATGCTCCTTCATGAAGAGTAACAGACGTAAGTAAGTACTTATGGTTGTAGTTAAGTAATCTATTTCATTGTGAATATTGGCTCATATATTACAGTAAAGCCTGACGATGAACCATTGGAAAACAACAGTATTCATTTATATCTATGTTGTTGTGATTTACACAATGAGAACCTTTAACATTCAAAAAGAGATAGTAATTAACTTATTACTAGCGTGGTAATTCAATCTTTTTGGTCATTAGTTTTTTGTTAATGTTTATTTTGTGTTGTATTTCCCTTCTATTAATGAATTCTTAAACCACCTCATCACTCATACATTTCCACTTACTTGATTCACTTAAATTATGTTGAACTCATCAAATTCTATTCAATTATTACATAATCCATCTTACCAGTTTTTTAATTCTTTAAATCTTCCATTAACTCTAAAATTATCACTCACATCTTAGGTTCTCTACTTTTCCTTCTCTACGTTAATGAATTACCGCTGTTGTTAAAGTTGTCGACATTATTGTTTGCGGATGATATAAAAGTCTAGAGAACAATAGGAAGTTAGGCTGATTATTTTGATCGCCAAGCTGACTTAGATGGGCTGGAGGTTAGGGCTTAAAAGTTAATTCTAGGAAGAGTGTGTTCATACACATCGGACGCGGTAATATTTATAATTATACTACTGATGGTACATCTCTTTCACGCGTTTAAGAACATAAAGGCTTGGGAGTAATAATAAATCATGACTTGAAAACAACTACGCATTGCAACGTAGCTGATGTCTAAGGTTTTCGTGCCTTATGATCACTTCGTCGAGCATTCAACTGCCTTAATGAGGAACTGTTTCAAATTTTATACCCCACCAATGTAAGACCACACTTAGAGCATTGTATTCTAGCAGCTAGCCTATGTTTGACAAAGGATACTAACTCACTTGAACGTTTTTAGTATGTGGGAAGAAAACTAGTGAAGGGTCTTTCTAAACTCCCTTACGTGAGCGCTTAAAACGCCTGAAATTTTCCCCCTTGTTGTACTGTAGGACGCGAAGTGACCTTATACTGGCATTTCGTATCTTCAATTATGATTTGGGTGTTAATGTGTCTTATCTGTTTGCTCCCTCCAGCACTAATAATCTACGAGGTCTTAGCAAGAAGGTTCACAAACCGTGATCTAATAAACTGAAAATAGGGCCCTGTTTTTCTCATCGAAGGGTCAATGACTGGAACGCCTTATCAGAACAAGTGGTATCAACCCCATCAGTGAATATTTTCAAGGAGAAGCTGGACCTTCACTGGAAAGCAATCTGTCAGGATTAACACAGGTTCATCAATCTACTATCCCTATTACTGAAAACTGATCTGCCTCTAACTCCACTCAAGTGTTATATCACCTATCCTTAATCTTTCCTTGATTCTAACACCAAATAACTTCTGACCTTTGTCATTCCAATCGTTTACATTCACTTATGTCAATTGTTTCATACTATTTCTTATCTCAATATAATATTCTATTATATATCAATGGTTATAATCAGTTGATGATGAAGAAACCATGACAACATAATGAATTCAGATTATTCTGTATCAATATATGTTTTGGCTTTATTTAACTACATAAAGGGGAACTAATTGCATAATATTTTACAGTCTAAGTATTAGAATATAACTAAACAAAATAAGAGCTAATTTGTGTCGGGTAGAAACAGATGTCTACCTCAGTACAATGGAAGATGGTCGCGCAACTTCGTAGATTGGTTGAGGTTAGACATTAACACCATTGGATGCTGGCTCAGTTGTCCAGTAGCTTAAGCGTTCGCGCACGAGACTGAAGGCCCTGGGTTCGATCCCCACGAGCAGGATCGTGGATGCGCGCTGCTGAGGAGTTCCACAATAGGACGAAATGGCCGTCCAGTGATTCCAGGTTTTCAATGGTGGTCTAACATCCATCGGTTCATGATCTCAATCAAAAAAACTTAACAATCTCCACAACCACTAAACTGAAAATAAGAGGAATTCAATTAATATATTTGAAATCAAATCACTAAGATAAAGAGTTACAAACAACATTGTTACGTAATGTTAAATATATATAGGGAGAGAGAGAGAGAGACGGAGAGAGAAATCTTGTTTTAATTACATGTAAATAATTGAAATATGAAACGATAATGATTTCAATGTTATTCACACTCACTCACTCACTCATTCACACACACACACACACTCATACTCATACTCACACTCACACATACACATACATATGCAAAAAAGGGATCAGTTGATTAATAACCATGATTGATCAATAGTTGAATAGAATTTACTTGAATAATTTAATATGTATATATATGAAAACTAAATGATAATTGAATATGAGAGATTCGAATTCATAACCTCAAAGAGAATAATCATTAGATCATTAGAACTATTCCATTATATAATTGAAAACTCATCATTTATGAAGTGATTGTAATGATTAGGAGAAGAAGAAGATAAAAAAAAGAAAAAGTTCATTTATTCACAAAATATAAATCATGATTTATTGATTATTGTTATATAATAGATCAATATTTATCACCTAATAATCAATAAAATCAATATATATATATATAGATAGATATATATCAATTGATGAATGATCTATGAATGAGAAATGCTTGAATCATGTATTAAATAAAAAGAAAGAAAGAAAAAAAGATAAAATAATAAATAATCATTATGGAAGATTTTCAAGTGATCATTTCATGGATGATGATGATAATGATGATGATAATGATAGTGTAATATAAATTATGTACATAAACATTCATTGTTGATAGTGTAAATTGAATCAAAAGAATAGTAGCCATACAGATTAATTATGAATAAAGATCTATTTATAATAACCAAAATGAAATGCCAAAATGTAGATATAGATATGAGAACAATTTGTTGTTGATATAGTGATTAACATGAAATGAAAGAAGATAAAGATGATCTAATAAACGAACACGATGATATGATGATGATCCAGATCAATGAAATTGATTCAAGTTGAATAGTTTCACATGGATATTACAAACAGATAAATGAGAAAATATACTGAAGATTCTTTTTTTTTTAAAATTTTTTTAGTTAAACTTACATGGATACTAGTTGGTTAGTTTTTTTTTTTTTTATGTATATGAAGAGAATTCACAAATATCACTTGTTTACACATAGAAATTGAATAAACATTAAAGAATTAAAAATAAAAGTAAAATTGACATAGAAAAAAGGTCAAGTAAATGCTGTAATCAGCTGATTTCCTGAATATATAGTATTCAATTGATTGATTACATCTTGTAAATGCATATGCATATGCATAGATAGATATATTTGTATCTGTCTATGTATATAGATAAAGATCTCTATATCAAGTGTATTGTATACAATTGAAGTTGACATTTATCCATCTAATCATGATAATCAATTGACTATTTAAACATTGAATTGATTATTATTGTTATCAATAACTGATTGATCTTTAACTGTTGATGATGTGAATTCATTTAATGATGGTACTACTGTCATCATTCCACCTGAAGTGGTTGAACTAGTTCCAATACTTAGACGAGGTGGAGGTGTAATTTTTGTTTTATTTTGACTATTAGTTTTATTGACAGTATTATTTGATCCATGATTATTATGCATAAAATGTGTCACTAAATCAACTGGTAATGGAAATATTATAGTAGAATTTTTTTCAGCTGATATAGTACTTAATGTTTGAAGATATCTTAATTGGACAGCGAATGGTGATTCTGTAATGACATCTGCAGCTTCTTTCAATGCACGTGATGCTTTCCATTCACCTTCAGCAGCAATAACCTTTATTAATATTCAAAAGCAAACAAAAAAAGAAATTAAAAGTATTAAGAAGATCAAATGAAACAAGACGTAGAAAGTCAGAATAACTGAAATCAATGATTCATTTCAATGGCATATAGCTTTGATGAATTCTTTTTTCTGGCTAGTGCTTTTTTTAACGCGTTAGTTTTCTACGGGATAGAATCGCTAACCTCATACCCATCCCTCCTCCTTTATTCGGGTTTCGGACCGACAGCAGCCCCAGAGGGGCTCTAGGTGGAAAAGAGGAAAATCAAGGAATACATTACGCCAAGAAATGAAGACAGACATAAGAAGAATGAAGAATAATTGGATAGAACTGAAAGGAAGACCCAGGACAGAGTGGATTAGAGAATCCTGATCGGCGGCCTATCCTCCGTTGGGAATTATAGGCATGAGTAAGTAATTAATACAGTTGATGAAATTGATTTATGTGATTATGTAGAACTCTGAACTTAAATGAAAGTTCTATGTAATATGACTATGTTATGATGTAATAACTGATATAAATCAATTAGATTTAATCAATAATATTCAGATCATTATTACAGTGATTACATCTACATCGTTGAACTGGATCAAATAGATAAACAAATGATAAATTGAAATACAACTAATACATTATAACTAAATTGTCATAGTCATAATTAATTAGATTCTTTAAATAATTGAATTAAAATTGATTTCTATCCATATAAGATTTTGACTTAATATGGATAAATGTATTACCAGATTATGTAATGTACACTCTAAATAAATATCACATGGAGAATTTGAATAAAAGTATCCATCATCTCAACAGTATCCGAGTTAGATTTTATATAAAGTTACTATGCATTGGATATTGTGATTGTTTGAAGTATAAAAGTATAAACGTAAAATCAATCTTTACAACTGATTGTTCATCATTTATTCATTCTCTTTTACTTAAAGATTATGGTAGTATATGCTACTGATATCGGTAGATATAAGTAGTACATATATCATGAATTGAAAGTGAAATGCATGGTGACAGAAGATTAAGAACAAGAACAGAGAATGATTGGTGTGTAAATGATGGAACAATGAAATTTGAGATAATCGATTGACATTTTGTATATAAGACAATTTATTGTATGGATATAAGATTTTACTAAGATTTTCTGTAATTGTATGTTCAAATACATTTAACTGTCCTCACTTCTAATCTTGTTCACTATCCTATCTGTTCAAGTGTATTAATGTTGCTTATATAATAATGAAAGAATAACATACAGATACAATTGAACAGCTACATTCTCTCCTTATTTCTTCTAATAAAACTCAAACAATTCAGGAAATAAACGCATAAGAACAAATTAACATGACATTTGTTAGATTCTACTGGATTAAATTACGAGTAACTTCTGAGAACTATTGGTAGACTAATATTATCTATATATTATTATGATATAACTATTCAGTAATTAGATAGTGTATACCCATATTCCTCTTATCATAAGCTTCGTTTTGAACTATTACTTACTTACTTATATACCCCTGTAACTCCTCGTGAAGGAGCATAGAAAAACCACCAGCAGTCTCCATCCATCCTCGTCCTGGACAATCCTTTCTAGCTCCTTCCAGTTGTTATTCATCCTTTTCATATCTAATCCTATTTCACAACATAATGTGTTATTTGCACTTCCACTTTTCCGATTCCCTTCACGATTCCAAGTTAGCGCTTGCCTAATGATGCAGTTTGATGATTTGTGTAATGTATGTCCTATCCAATTCCATCACGTTTTCCTAATTTCCTCTTCAGCTACAAGCTGATTTGTTCCCTCCCATAGTAGGCTGTTAGTGATGGTATCCGACCAACAGACATTCATTATCTTGCATAGAAAACTGTTTATAAATACTTGTACCTTCTTCATGACGGTTGTAGTAGTTCTCCAAGTCTCAGCTCCGTACAATAGAACTAACTATCTTGACATTCGTATTGAAGATTGTGACTTTGATATTGGTTGGCAGATAGTTGTTTTGAATTCCATATGTTATTTAATTGTAGAAATGTGGTCCTTCCCTTGCCATTGCTCACCTTTACGTTTGCATCTGATCCTCCTTGTTCAACGATTATTCTTCCCATTTATGTGAAGCATTCTACATCTTCCAGAGTTTCGTCATCAAGTGTGTTGGGTTTGTGTTCTCCGTGTTGTATTTGAGGACGTTGGTTTTCCCGTTGTGTATGCTGAGGCCTACTGATGCATAGACTGCTGCTACACTGGCTATCTTTATCTGCATTTGTTCGTGTGTATGCGATCGGAGGGACAGGTCGTCTGTGAATTCCAAATCTTCTAATTGGTTCTGAGCTGTCCATTGTATTCCGCATTTTCCCTCAGATGTTGAGTGATTCATAATCCAGTCGACCACCGGAAGAAAGAGGAAGGGAGAGAGTAGATAGCCTTGTCTGTCTTTGGTCCCTACTTGGAATCCATCTGTCAGCTGTCTTCCAGTCACGACCTTGAACTGAAGTCTATCGTATGAGTTCCGGATGATGTTGACAATCTTCTCGGGAACTCCGTAGTGTCGAAGGAGTTTTCATAACATCCTCCTAACTACACTGTCAAATGCCTTTTCATATTGAATGACCTATAGGTTATTATTATTATATGATTTACTATTCTTAAATTATGCTTAGTTTACTAATTAGTCTCCCATGTTCACAGTCACATTTCTGCTTGATCTTGTTTAAATCTTATTTCTTATTTCATAGTATGATACAGTCTGTTTAGCTTGTGTATAAACTAAGTATATTTAAAATAAATGATTTACATAGTGAGAAGCTGTTATTAGCATTCTGAACTCAGCTGGATGGGCTAAGCGATCAAAAGACCAGTAAGGAAACTAAGCTGTTCATATCAATCGAACATCATTGATTTAACACAGTACTAAGATTGAATAAATTTTATTCCAATTAGTGAATAAATCACATGGTAACTAGCTTGACTTAAAGTCACAACAAAATGATTAATAACAGATGAATTATTATTATTATTAATAATTCATCAATTAAAGTGAATGGTTACCATGATAGCAACTAAATAATATAAGTTTCATCAATAAAAAACTTTCTTTTCTCCAAGAAACTCTATCACAAATCAATAACCAGAATTGATGATCAATAATGATCATTTAATATGATTTGGATAAATCAAACGAAAAAAAAAGAAAACAAAAGAGAAGAATACCATCAAATTAGATGAACAACATAATGCGATGAACAAAAAAGGAAAGAAAAGAAAAGAAATAAGTCCATTTTATTTCATTATTGTTAATCAAACAATGAAAAATGAATTTTTTTTTCTCATTCATTCTTTGTTAAATCGATTGTAGAGTTACATTTAGTTTGAATTGACATTGTAAGTATTAAGGTTTAGAATGTTCTATACAATGATGAAGTCAAATACAAAGTCACTTTAATTCTTAATAATTATCTAAGTGAAATCAGTTTATAGTATAAATTATGTTTGAATACTAGTAAAATGTTTTATAAAAAGATGAATATTTGGGAAGTTCGAACTGACGGGATTATTTTCTAAACATTTTACATGACTGTTGAGTCGACTTCCAAGAACTAAAACAGAGTCTTTAGAGGCTCTAAAGGAACCAAAAAGTTCCAGCTAATCAGAGGATGATGGAGCTTTCTAGCATATCAACATGGCATGATACTATTAGTCAGTAGGATAATATGTTCAGAGATTTTCTGTAGATTTTCATTCTTACCAAGTAGACAATTCTCCAACTTTTCTTCTGCCTTCTGATTTGCAACAGTGAAGTTCTAACATTCGAGTGTCGTAATTGTAACCCTTATTCTGAGTTAATCAACTAGCGAACGTAACACAAATGACATCGAAAAATTCAGTCTCATGTAACTTAAGTAACTTAAACAACACCAACAATTGACAAATACTCTATATCATTTCAATTAATGAGTAAATAAACTTGAACTTGATACCTATTTCGATTCATTAATAATAGAGTAATATTAAGATAATAATCATTTTAATCAATATCACGAGATCAGTAACCCTGAAAACATATTTTACTAACCTTAGCTCGAGCTTCTCTAGCAGCTTCAGCTTCTGCTGCCATGGCACGCTGTAATTGAACAGGAAGACGTACATCTTTACTAATAGAAAAAAGATAGAATAATTAGTATTTGTACAGTAATTCATTTATGAATATATAAACAGTAATAAAAAATGAAATAAACCATATTCTAGATTATACATTTTTATGCTTACATATTACTTGCCGATAAATAATAAGTAATATAAAAATTATTACATTAAGCCATCAGTATACCATTAAGTTAGTTCATCTATTTACACACATACACCTGTTGTTCCTTTTGTTGCATGGTGCAACGATTACAATTTGTTAATCAACTCTTCTTTCCAGTTCTACAAAACTGCAATTTATTCTCATGACGTCTGCCTTCAATTCCCGACACCATGTGTATGATGTTCCGTCTGTTTTCTTTTCGCATTCAGGAATCCCATTTTAGGACTCACCTTATGTTGCAGTTTAATGAAAGTCCTATATCATTGCAGCGTCCTTTTCTAATTCCACATGCAGATAAAAGCTGGTTTGTTCTCTCCTACACTAGGTTGTTGCTGATGATGTCTCGCCTACGGATATGAAGTATCTTATGTAAGTAACTGTTAAAAGATACCTGAACAATCTTTGCATTTACATTTGCATGAAATCATCCTTGTTCATCGATGATGCTGTCTAGTAGGCTTCTGCTATACTGATTATCTTCATTTGTATTTGTTGGTGTATTAAGGATAGAAAATCTAGATCATCTGCAAAGTCTAAATAATCTAATTACATATAAGCTGTCAATTGTATTTCATGCTTTCCTGAAATGTGGTCTTCGTAATCTAGTTAATCACCAGAAGATGAGAGTAAATAGCCTGATCTGTTACTGATCTTCTCTTAGAATGTATTTGTATGGCGTTCATTGTGTACGACATTGCAGTGTAGTTCATCATATGAATTTATAACTTGTACCCGAATTTAAGCACAGTGTTATAAATCTCAGTTGTAATTCAATATGACTGAAATAATATTTATGCAAAATAATAACTTATTATATGAGTAATATATACACATCTTACTGTTCATAGAGATATCAAGTAAGTAGTACATTTGAAAACCATTTGTCGAAAAGAAAACAAATTATTTGGTTTATTTATTTAGATCCATTTATGGACCAATACTAAACGTATATTTCTATTGTATAATTATTAAGTAACTAAACTATGCATATTCATAGTCCTCTTATTATAAGCTTTATTTTGACCCATAAACTATTATTATACGTTTTACCATTCTTGAATTATGCACTGTCTATTAGTCACTGCCTCACACATACACAGCCAAATTTGGCTAAATCTTGTATAAATGTTGTTTCCTATTTTATTCGTACGATGTGGTCTGTTTGATTGGTATATAAACTCAGTACGTTTGAAATATAAGCATTCATATTGCAGAGCCTGAGATTGACGTTCTGAGCTTAACTGGCTGGGCTAGGCAGAAAGGAGGACCAATAGGAACTCCAGACTACTCGTACATGTTTTATGCGTCATTTGGTTCGATCGATAATTCACTGCTCTCTAATTGGAGGTATCATTACGTTATACATTAGCAAAGCATTCAGGCCACAAGTTATAACAAGAACATTAAATAAAAAAATATAAAACAAAATATTCTGAATATTCAATCATAATATTTGTTATGTAATCAGCAATGTACTCCTCCTTTAGTAATAAATCAACGGGATGAATGTTAAATCAGTTAACTTACACTTCAACACGTTCAACTTTCACACCCCAAGGATCTGTAGCTTCATCCAACATGGTCTATTAAAGATGGGATAAAAAAAGAGGAATGACAAACAATAATTCAAAAATAGTTTGCAAGATTTCCATCAGAAACGTTAACGTAAAACTGATATTATCAGGAGGGGTTTTATGGAGATTTTAGTAATTCCAATAGCTGAAATCCTAGTATGGGACTCCTCAGCAGTGACAGTGGTGCAATTTCGTGGATTAGTTAAAATGAGACATTAACATAGTTAGATGCCGGCTCATTGGTCTGGTTGGTTAAGCGCCTGGCGCGAGACTGATAGGTTCCGGGTTCGAATCTCGTGTGGAGCGGGATTGTGGATGCGCATTGCTGAGGCGTCCCATACTAGGACGAAACGGCCGTCCAGTGCTTCCAGGTTTTCCATGATGGTCTAGCTTTAATTGACTCATGAAGTGAACTATTGAAATTAGTAAAAGTGATGATAAATTGCATTGATCCTACTAAATTGTGAGACAAAAAGTGAAATGAACAAACTTGTAGCAAATTTGAACATACTGTACAGATTCCTTCGATATTGCCTTAATTCACAGTCATTATAAACAAAGATGGATAGTGACTAGCAGTGGAATTCAAGCGTGAATATTAACTCTGAGATGCAAGTACATCCAGCTGACAAATCCTATGTAGGACGAAACGTCAGTCCTGGATTGCACCGCTAGCCACTATTCACCTTTGCCTATAAACAAACTGTTTTAAAAGAATTACATTAAACATTTTTCTTTTCTACCAATAGTATTTATTTCTAGCAGACCGTATGTATTATAACCCTTTATATTATTACATAATATATACGGTTATTTCAATAATTGAGATCATGAGTCAATTGAAGCTAGACCATCATGGAAAACCTGGAGTCACTGGATGGCCGTTTCGTCCTATTGTGGGACTCTTTAACAGTGGGCATCTACGACCTTACTTCTCGGTATTCCAACCCAGTACCTCATGATCTCAACTATTGAAATAACTACAATCTCCACAAAACCCTTTCTGATATACGGTTATTTTGTAAATATATGGTCAGTTGTGATCTATGAAACTGAAATGTATCTACAATGAGACTTTACACTGTTGAAGTTGATTCAATTCACTTTATACTTAACTCTAAACAAATATGGATTTGATCAATTTTTATACATAACCATTTGGATTATAAAGTTTAAATTTAGTAGCTACAGTGAATTAAATAAAGGAATTGAAGACTGCCAATTGCTTTATATGGATTCAACCATTATATCTAAAATCCTATCATTTAGCCTATCCCTGAAGATTTACTTCTATGGTATATTTCATGAAATAACATTCGTTTAATAATAATATACATATAAAACTTACTTGCATCATACCAGAGATTGTATCTCGTTCGGATAAAATTTCAGATAAATTTTTTGTACCTAATACATTTCTTAAAGTAGTTGCTGCAAGAAGACGAGTTGATCGATCAGCATCTTCAACATTTGTAATTGCAACAACTGGATTATAAATACGATAATAAACAACAGCATCTACAGCAACAGTTACAGAGTCACGAGTAAGTACCTGTTAAATAAATTGAAATGAGAAATTCAAACTACTGATTAGTGTTAAGAGATTAGATAGTTCAAATGAAGCGATTTCAATCTCATTCACCTACACCATCGTGACCGATTCTGAGCCATGTCACCAAGAGTCTCCAATAATTGATTACGATAGTCGCTTGGACCCCAATTAAGTAGTCTGGATCTACCAATATGGCTAAGACTAGAAGTTAGTAACTTCAAGCACTGATTCTACGTTTTGGTTTGGCCACCCCTAACATTCTTCCAACCATCCCTGACACCAGTCAGCACTGCGCGTTGTGATAATCAGTGTTCAGGCATACGTAACATGAGACCCAACCATACCTCTAATAGCACTCAAGACCACTGTATTTGTAAACCGCATAATGACTTTTAAAAATGAGTTGTCAACGAGTGAATCTCATTATTTCAACATCTGATAACAATTTTATAGATGTATGTTAAATTAATTGTAGCAATTAATGTAGGTCTTCTATGTGTGTCTAACCAGTAACCCGAAATTCATGATCTAATAACTAGTACATATACATATACTTGGTAAATAATGTGAAAATATACAGTTGATCAAAAGACATTATAATTTAAGATAAGTAAAAGAAATGTATTCATCTTGTTTTAATGGATATAACTTTATAAATGACATTATGCTTAATTGATTGATTGATTTCAGAAATAAGCTAAAATTCTGTTTTAATAAATCAGTAGGTTTGTGGATAACGTGCCAAAAAAGGTTTTAAACAAAATGTACTGAGTTCAAGTGTCAATGAGTATATTAATATTGAAATGCTGATGTAGCCAACTGATGAGTCTCTAATTAAGTGAAACATGTGCGTCCTGATTTCAATGCTAGACACAGCTTAGTTATGTTACAAATATGTAATTAATTCCACTTAGAATGTACATAAATGAACAGAGGCAGATCAGTTACACTTTTCAATAACATTAATAAGTGACATTTACAAACTCTTCTTTAAATTTATGACACTGAAAGCTTTCTCAGTATATAGTTCTGATCATCTAACTCATATGAAAACGATTTAATATAAGACAATCTCAAGAACCATTAAAAAGATACAGTACAATTTAATAATGTCATTATGAAGCTTTCATCGTTCTTCTGAACAACATCATCAGCACAAACTTCAGATAGAAGGGGAGTGTTCCAATTTCTCCATATGTGCTTCACAGCCTGTTCTGTACACCACGATGTTGATTGGTTTTTACTACCCTTAAATTTGTCATTGTTTAACGTCAATAAGAACCAATCAACATGGAGGTGTACAGAACAAGCTGTGAAACGCATATGGAGTTTGTGCTGATGATGTCGTTCAGAAGAACGATGAAAACTACACAACCAAACCATCCAGCTCAGAGAACAAAACTATAACAAAATCATCCACCTAAGCTACAAATCTTCTCCACCATCTCAATATCATTAGTGTTAAGTAATGATTACATTATAAATTAGGAAATACAAATAAATTATTCCAACTTACAAAAATGAAAAAAAGAACGTTATAGTTTATGCATGTGAAATAGAAGTTAAGTAAACAAATAAAACAACAAGATATCTGCAAAATTATTTAAGTAATTATTAAATTAGATTATTGTTGACTACATATATCATATTCTCGTTAGTGACTGACTGCAAGAGGTATTTCCTAGAGTTATAATGAGAAGCAATGACCAGTAGAGATCGACCGCATCTATTGTGAAATAGTAATTCATAGATGACAGCGGTGGATGTGTCGTTCAATTTCGTTGATTAGTTGAAGTTAGGCATTAACACCGTTGGATGCTGGCTTAGTGGTCTAGAGGTTAAAGCTCTCGCGCACGAGCCGACAAGTCTTAGGTTCGAGTTTCGTGAGGTGGGATAATGGATGCGCACTTCTGAAGAGTCCCAGACTAGCAAGAAGTGACCGTCCAGTGCTTGCAGGTTTGCCATGATGGTCTAGCTTCAACTGACTCATGAACTCAACTATTAAAATTACTATAATATCCACAAAACCCCATCCACATATTATTGTTAATTTAACACTCTGATCTTGACAAGATTCGGCAACACCTATAAAATTATTAGCAAGATAGTATTTAAAGGTTGATTTCTATTCGTGAAATTTTATATATCAGGCCGAATTAGAAAAGATACATGTAGGGTAAGTATTTGAAGTTCTATATGTTTAACATTTCATACGAAATTATTCTTTTTTCAACAGGATCTAAATGTAACTATGACAGAATCAATGAAATCCATAAGATCACACAGAGTTCTGTCAGAATATGAATAACGAAAAACAACGTTTGTTACTAAACAGTGAAAAAAACTAAAATGTACATCAATTGGTATCGTTTACTTGAATCTTCCTATTGATGTCATTAGGACTGAAATTGATCAGTCAGTTATTGGCATATGTACATACTGTGCGTATTGTCATGATATTGCCTAAATTCACAGGCATTATAAGCAAAGATGGATAGTGGCTAGCAGTGAAATCCAGGACGCATATTTCGTCCTGTTTTGGACTCTTCAGCTGAACGTACGTGAATCCCAAAATTGATATTCATCCGATTGCGCAAACAGGTGGCTACCAGGACTCAGTAGCTAAGTGGATACTGCGATGGCATTTGAATCGAAAGATAATGGGTTCAAGTCGCAGAGTGAACATCAACAAGTCAGAAGTGTAGGTACATCCAGCTGACGCGTGTTAAATAGGATGAAATGCGCGTCATGGATTCCATTGTTAACTACTATCCATTTTTACTTATAATATGAACAGGGTTGGATGGAGAATGCTGGTGAGCGGCCTATGCTCTTTTACGAGGAGTAACAGGCGTAAGTAAGTAAGTAATGAACATCTTTATTTTACAAGATAATTGTATTTTCCTAATCGTAAAACTAGTACGTTTGTTCGTGTTTTGTAAACAATTAACGTGGTTTGTAGATATAAATGTAGATGTAAATTTCATTTCAACAGAATACATTCAATGGTACTATAGTTCCTAACATTTATATTTAAAATAGATGACAAAAACTGTAAAGAAAAAAGCTGTTTTGTTTAATTATCTATGTAGATTAATATAAAATGAATGAAGGGTCATAACCTATAGATAAGTATGTACACTACAAATGTCATGTTTGTTTTGAACATATGGTAAAATGGTAAATATAGTATACTACTTTAACTTTTGTTTAGTGAATAGATGACCATGATCAGTGTCTTAGAAAATATAAGAGAGATAGAGTGATCATCAAAATATTTATCATAAAATTGTTGAGTTTCATTGAAATTATGAACCGGTCTATGTTAGACGACCATTGAGATACCATGAATCACCTCAACAGTACGTATTCATGATGCTGCCCGTGACATTAAAATTCAGAATCTTCAATGTTACACCTAAACACCAATCCAGTATCCGACGACGTTATTGTTTGATTACAATCAATCCATGATGTCGTAAAACCATCTTTTATAATTTTCTGTGGGTAACTGCCTTACACCAGCTACGGTTGAATTTGATCGATGATAGCCTCTCACTAGAACTGCATAGAATTTCCACACAAAGTTAGTCACTTGTTAGCATATGATATTTTTTATTACATGTTGTGTCGAGATTGTTAAACTTTAATAACTAATTAGTTTACAATATTTATCAAGTTACTATTATTCATTATTATCGATAATATCATAATAAGGTAGTAAGTGTAAATGAACCAAAAGTTTAATTATAAGGACAACAATTATACTTCAAAAATTCTTTACAAGTTCAACAATCATCACAACCATTATATCCTGTATAAAATAGAATATCTACTTAAATATTTCTATTTCTCTCAATGGTTAAGATCATGAGTCAGTTGAATCTAGACCACCATGGAGAACCTGGAAGCACAGGACGGCCGTTTCGTCCTATTGTGGTACTCCTCAGCAGTGTGCATCCACGACATTGCTCCTTGCGGGATTTGAACCCAGAACCTACTGGCTTCGCACGCGAGCACTTATCCACTAGACCAGTGAGCCGGCATCCAACGGTGTTAATGTCTAACTTCAACCAATCCACGAATTTGAACCACACAACCATCATTGTCTTCAGTGAGCTACTATCTTACAACAGACCTGGTTGAACTCCACTAGTCACTACTTCTATTTCTGTTTGATATGACAATGTAATGATTGATTAGAATGTTTAAATGATTTACAGAACATGTAGACTATGCTAGTCATCAGTATAGAATAATAAAAGTTGCTTAATAACAATTAATCATTAAATCTACTATGAAATACATACAACAATAATGAATTGTATTGAAATATTGTTCAAGATTTAAACATGCATACACACACAGGAATGTAAAACATTCATATACACACTATGAAATATCTCTATACATTATGTTATCATTTAAAATAATCGACAAAAGATCTTTTGTTGTTGTTGAGGTTATTGTTATTGTTGTTGTTGCTGTTGTGATGGTGGTGGTGGTTATTGAATACAATGACAAATAGTTTAAACAATCCTTAATATAATCATTAAATTATTTATATAGATTACAATTAATGAATAACAAATGTAAAGTTTGAAACATCCTGATGACAAAAAAAAGAGGAAAGAAAAAAGAAGAGAAAAGGAAGAACAATTAAATATCCTATTTATAGTTGAAAAGAAAACGAAAGAAAAAAAGATAAAAGAAAGAATAAAAGAGAATATTTAAAACAATTTAATTTTTTTTTTTAGAAAAAAAACCCATTATTTTACAGGTTAAATTTTGCATGAACTAAACTTTTCTAAACTTTTATTCTACGTCAAAAAACATGAAAATATATTCAACACAATCATCATCATCATCATAGTAATAGTGTAGTGTGTGCTACTTATATTGCCATAAGTAGTAATATGATGTTAGTTGTGAACAGAATATTTGGCAGCAGAGAGACAACAGGATCGAACAGTAAACAATGAAAACAAGATGCAATTTGTATGAAAATACAAGACCAATGAAGTCTGAGTCATTATGAGATAATTAATGGACATTTTACAAAGGAATTATTTACTGTTGGGTTCTTAAATTTTATTAAGATGCTCTGTAATTTTGTGTCATTTACATTCGATTGTCTCCACTCGTGTTGTCTTTACTACAATAGTAATAATACTAATCATAGTGGTAATGGTAATAATAACACTAATGATCATAGTAATGTTGATAACAACACTCATGGTAGTAATAATAATAATAGCATGAGTGATGGTAATAATAATAATAATAATAGTATAATAATGAAAGTAATGATAATAATAGTAATAATAATATTAACAGTATTCATAGCAATAATAATAATAATAATGATATTCATAAAAATATGTCCATAAATGAGAACACATTGATTTAGTTACAAATTCTTCTTCTTATCTATAGTTCTTTTGTCTAGTTTTCTTTTCTCTTTTTTCTTCTTCTTCTTTCTCTTTTATTTCTTTTTTTATTATTTTTAAATATAAATTAGAATAGACAATAAAAAGTGCATGACATATTGAAATGATAAAGAAAACAATTAATAAAAAGAAGTAAATAAACAAAAAGAATTTGTCGATTTCTTTTTATTTTTCTTTTCTTTTTTTTTACTTTCAACAATCAATCCTCAATGACAATAATCATGATCAACAATCATATAATTATATAATCATGATTAAAATGAATTTATTTAATGTTGTTTGTTTTTTTTATTAAAAAAAATGATCAAATTGATCCAGATCAAATAAAGATTCATTTATTCATCAATAATGAATCATAGAAACTGATGTTCGTGTTGTTGTTGTTGTTGTTGTTGTTTTTTAATTTTTTTTCTTTTATATTCTTATCACTAAGCTCAACAAATTTTATTGATCAACGAATGAATTTCCCCATTTTTTTTAAATAAAATTTTTATTTAATAAAATTTTTTAATTAAAATTTATTCATTTAACAATAAAAAAAAAAACAAAAAACAAGGATACTAAAAAAACAATTAATTTATATAATTTTAAGTGATAAGAAGAGTTATTTATATCAAGTATAGAACATAGAAGAACATTATTCTTATGAACTTTATGGAGTTCATATAGTTGTAGTGTGGCGTCGAATCACTTTTGACTATGATCACCACTACAAGAAGACTACGTGCCAGTTAGCAGATAAAATCCCCCGTAAGCCAAATATCAGAAGGTAATTGATGGTTGTAGTCGAGATGTATTTGTTGGCGATCTCGTAGTATCGAAAGGATACCGAGATCGTGCCGAAGGAGTACAAGTATGGTTACTGAGCGTAACCGAACTCGTACAAGGTCACAATCAATCAAAGGATAATGGAGCAGTAATATGGCTGTCTTTAGCATTGTTAAACAAACGAGCACAGTAAAACAATCACTGGTACAATTGGTTGTAATAATAATTGTTTCCATTAAAAACCAATCGCGTTCTCTTGATAAAAGTAGGTCACTATATAGTCCTGGAGAAATCACGACTTAGTGTTATGTTATCCAGATGAGGGTGAAAGAATTGTCTTTATGGATCACTTTAACTATATCTATAAAATATCTTCGATATTATATCTGATCCTGTCAGATTCTTTAAAGAAATTGTTCAAAAAGGTATAACTGAAAAAAAAGCTGAGCAGATCCTAATTAAAATCCTAAAGAAAATGAAAGACGAATCTTTTATCCATTGTGATTCATAGGAATATCTCAAACCATCAGGTTCCGTTATACCAAGATTATATGGACTCCTAAATGTTCATGTCCTATACTTGATATGAACAACTCTCCTTATCCATTGATCACTAAATCGTTAGTGAATATTTTACAACCTGTTAAAAATCATATCAATAAATACAATTCTCTTGATTCGTTTAAATTTGTCGATTTAATTAGAATTAAGACGAAATGGTCATTCAGTGCTTCCAGGTTTTCAATGGTAGTCTAACATCAATTGGTTCATGATCTCATCAAAAAAAAAACTTAATAATCTCCATAACCCCTAAACTGAGAATTATATAATTTTAATTAAATATTCAATTGGTTAATTAAAACAATCACCTATAACTAATCAAATAATCTAAAATCAATTTAGTCTATATTTGTAAATCTGTATCATTTAATACTTAAAGTATTCATAGAAGAAATGGGGTTTTTGTAGATATAATAATTTTAATAGTTGAATTTATAAATCAATTGAAGCATTGGATAGCCATTTGATCCTATTGTAAAACTCTTAGCAGTGCGTATCCATGATCCCATCCATGGGATTTTGAATGCAGGATTGATTAGTCTCGCATGTGAACGCTTAAACATTAGACCATCAAAGTTGGCATCCAATGATGTTAATGTTTAACTTCAACTAATTCACAACATCGACCCAACGTTTACCATTATCTTCGGTTAGTTACATATATCACAACACATACGGTTGTCAGTGCTTTCAGGTTATCAATTATGGTCTAGATTCAATTGACTCATGAACTCAACTATTAAAGTATTAATGTTTACTCTTTGATGTCAAGAGTATTGATATATTCTTAAAACATTTGGTGAAAATTCATTAACTATGGAAGTAAACATCAAAACAATAAAGACTAGTTAATATAAAATCAGTTTCTACTATAAAAAGTCATTTAGTGGAATATGTTTTTGATAAGTTTGTCGATTGAACGCTATATTCGTTTTCCTAAGCTATTCTGGTAACCCGTGAGCTATTACACAGAGCGTCTGAACACCAGAGAGAATACGAAAAGTGTGAGAAAAATACTTTAGTCCAGGTTCGTTTTTGTACAGAAAGCATGGGTATTTATAGATGTTAACGTTTGTTAATCAACATCATATTTCAGCCAATCCGTTAACGACATATGCTACTGACCAAGTAGTAGCACGCCACGTTGGAATTCTAGAATGCTCCACCGTGCTCTGATTGGCTAGGACTCTTCGGCTCCTTTTTGGGCCTCTGAGGCTCCGTTGAAGTTCTCCGAAAGCTGACTCAACAGTTTTGTTTATTGAAGAATGTAAATATCTGTATTATATTGGTTGATATTTCATCTATACAACATTGACAACCGAAATAGTCTACGAATGAAACTGAACTCTTTAATCTTGACTGTCAGATAAATATTTTCAGTTTAGGGGTTGTAGAGATTGTTAAGTTTTTGATTGAAACCAGTGAGTCAATGAAGCTAGACCACCATAGAAAACCTGGAAGCACTGGACGGCCGTTTCGTTCTATTATGGCACTTCTCAGTAGTGCGCATCCATGATCCCGTACCCCTCGAGATATTACATGCACTTAGGAATAATTACCAAATCTAGTAATCATATAGTAGAAAAGATTTATAACATGTACATTTTCCTAAATTTATAAACAATATTGTTTAACTAGAGGAAAATGAAATGGGCTATTAAAATCTTACAAACATTGACTACGGTAGGTTCTGAATGTTTTCTTATTAAGTAGTTTCAAACTGGACCGAAATAGATATTCATCGTTGTGTTTTCACTATGAAGTTGTGCTGATTACAGAATTTTATGAGATATTTACTAGGATGAAGTAGTCGTCTAGTGCTATCAGATCTTTAATAATGGTCCAACTTACATCGGTATATGATTTTGTTTATTTAACTGAACAAAATATATGAAGTAAATAACAAATGAAAAACGGATCATAGAAATTGAGTAATTTAAAATGTAAAACATAAACAGATCTCACTTCTTGTGGTGGAACATCAAATGTTACTGTTCTTAAATCCACTTTACGCATACGATCCATACATGGTACAACAAAAAATAAACCTGGACCTTTAGCACCACCAGGAAGTATTCGACCCAAACGAAATATAACGGCTCGTTCATATTCAGCAATAACCTGAATTATAAATTGAATTAAGCTAATTAGATATCAATCAAAGATAAGGTATAAGTATCTTTATTTTTAAATTTTGGAGACGTTAGATCTCCAGAACTCACTTGGAAAAGGATTTAAGTTTGTGATTTTATTTAGAAAATTTGAATTTCTTTGTTTTCGCGTCAAAAGTGCTCTTGTCATCTTCATGTTCTATTTCCACTTGGGAAATATCTTAATGCTATCGGTCTGTTGCGTCTTTTAGTATGCTGTTTGCTAACTCTCTCCAAGGACGGTTTCGTGCTTTTGTTGTTGTCGCTCGTTTCTGGCTATTTGCGGAATAGACTTCCCTCTTCCAAGCTTGAACTTCTTCCTCTAGTTAACGAGGCTTGGACGCATCAAATAGCTAGCTTATTAGTTTTTGGTCACTGAGTCTTTGTTCCGTTCGCAGTGTAAGTGAACAAGTAACCGCTTCAAATCTAGCATATTTTCACTAATCTAATATTTTTATAAACAAATAGTTTCATTCCGTTCATATTGATTAAACAATAAATGATGATAAAATGTTATGGTTGTTTAGCATAAGATACTGACAAATGTTCTAAAAGAACTAGCTGTTTATTAAAATGGAATAGTTCAATACTATGCGAAAATTTATGAATTACAATTAAACTACAGTAAGAACTATTCGCCTTTATCATATAAACAGACTATGGTTAAATAACTAGGAAATATTAAATAACTATTGTCTTTGTTTGTATAGAACTAAGTAATCATGAGTTTACTTTGTATCTAGCCTTAGATCTTCAAGTTATTAGACATGGAAGCCATTTGAAAATTGAATTGAATTGATCATAAAAGAAAACAAAATGTAATTATCATTCATTAGCATTGTTTCACAATAGAATATAGTGTTTAACATAATAAATGAGTTTAGAAAATTAGTGTCATTATGACATTAAAAAGACGTCTTGTTATATTTAAAATAAAATTTATGGAAACTTTTCTACAATACACTTCCCCTCATGATAATAATGAGCACTGCTGAGCAGTTCCATGCTAGAACAGGACAGCCGTTCAGTGCTTCCGGGTTATTTATGCTGGTCTACCTTCAATTGATCTCAAATAATGAAATCATAAATCTGTTGAGTAACCCATTTTTGATAAGGAAATCGGTTACTTCAATCAAATATGAATCACTGTTCAACTGTATATAGGAAGATTGTTTTAATTTCAAAGAAATGAATCATAAGACATTGAAATCTTATTTGTATTATCAACTACAAATATTTTATATAGGTACTCTTCACGTTATGTTGTTAACAACAGAACTTGAAACTATTTTGTGAAACATGATGCTTTAGCGCTTAAGGTTTGAAGGATATTTGTTCAGCTATCTTGTCTGTTGTATGGCATAGACATATACAAAGTTATCGTTTTTTTCTTATCATCAGTAAATGAAATCAAGAATTGACATTTTTGAGTCTCTTGTGATTAATTGCAAATTATTCGTTTTCTTACTAACTTCATAAGCAAAGAGGGATAGTGGCTAGCAGTGGAGTTCAGTACGTGCGTTTCGTCCTATTTGGGACTCGTCATCTGATAAGTTGATGTTCACTATGGGACTTGAACGTAGTACCGTTCACTTCAATGGCCGTCACATTATCCACTTAGTCACTGAGTCGTGATAGCCACTTCTTTGTGCAATGGGGTGAAGTTTGAATTTACCTCGTATTGTTTACGTGACTTCAGTTTATCCAGTGAACAATCAAAATTATGCACAAAGGAGAATTACAACCTTTTTACAGTTTTATAAATATCATCAGTGGTAACCATAATGTGTATAAAAACAAGAAAACATAAATATCTATTTTGTTTTGATTTGAAACTCTTGAGAATAAGACACACAGATCATGTTAAATGAATCAAACAACCTGGCAGGAAATTCATAATCTCACTTACGAATAACATAAATGAATTAAATCTAGAATATCTTTACTCAATTAATAATATATATATATATATATATATATATATATATATATATATATATATATATATGTAGACGATGACTTACCCGAGTAGTAAAGCATAATGAAAGGGGAAATGTTACAATTACCAACAAGTAGGATAACCCCAATAGAATAAAACCAAAACAGCCCAAATCTCCAGTAGCATCTGATAGGACTAAATAAATAAAAAGAAAATTAAACAAACAAACAACCACATTGACAATAAAAGTCACTAACAAAAAACAAAACAAAAAAAAGAGGAAATCATTTGCTTGATAAACAAGTTAGTGAATGTTCCATTTAGTTTAAACATACGTAGATCAACTGAATAAGGTAAAGAATAATAAGATATGAAATAGGCCATTGAAGATATATATCATTGTTCAATTCTTTGTTTAAAATAACAAATATTGCCGCATAAAATAAATTTATTTTAAATAGGTCAAATTAAGATAGAAAACTATTCAATCAAGATATATATAGATATATGTATATTTGATGTAATGAAGTTCATAAAAAAGTTCATAGATACAATCACTATTACATCATTTATAAATAACTCTTATAGTTTAATGTTTCTCAATGCTAATCAGTCAGTCAGTTAGTCGGCTACAATGTAGGATCAGGAACATATATATATGCATTGGTCTAAGTTGTCATATTTCATTAGCACAGCAAGAAGAACATAGGATTTATAGAAGTAGTTAATATATAAAAGATAGATTGTATATAAGGGCATGATGTATGTACATACATCATTTCGAGTTGCCATACCACATTACCACATAGATACAATTGTCGATTCAAATACCATAGTGGTAAATATAGTAAAAGTATAAACAGTAATCGGAAACATTCGAGTTTGAAAATGTTATTTAAGGAGTATAATACAGTGAAATAAATTTGGAAAGAGAAAAAAATAAGGGACACGAAGAAATAAAAAGTTTAGAATTTGGGAGAACACAAAATGTGGATGCACCTACACCATTGCAAACCATTTTGAGCCAGATCATCCAGGGTCTCTAACCATCGGTTGCTATCGTCTCGTCGATTCCAACCAAGTAGTCTGCATCTACCAACATGGGCAAGACTAGAAGTTAGTGACTTCATGCACTGATACCACGTTTTGGTTTGGCCGCCTCTAACTTTCAACCATTCCCGACACTTTTAAGTATTGCGCGTCGTGTTTATCGGTGTTCAGGCATACGTAACGCGTGGACCAACCATCTCAATCTATGAAGATTCACAAACTCATCAATTGATTCATCATCATTCCCTAATACTTTGAGTCTATTCTCACTATTACTTACCCGGCGATCCCAGCAGATGCTAGCAATATTTCTAACAGCCCAAAAGACCACTGTTTCTCAATATTATTTCTATGAAAATTATGTTCATAGAAGTGTATATGTATGGTATGAAGTTACGGTTAATTGTTGATACAAATGAACAATTGTGATAACTATATGCATTTAGTTATGTATACAATGTAAAAGACTATAATGTTACAAATGTAAAACTGAAGAAAATGACAAAAATTACAACATTCTTGAACGATTCATTTGTTATTGTTTTTCTTGTATCTCCTCTTTGAGGTTTAAGACTGCGATTAATCAGTATGTTATTGGCATATGTTCTTACTGTGCGTATGCTTCGATATTGCCTTAATTCACAAGCTTCTATAAGCAGGTACATCCAGCTGACGAATCCCAAATAGGACGAAACGCGCGACCTGGATTCCACTGCTAGCCACTATCCATGTTTGCTTATAAAATACTTGAACTACGTTTTTTTAGTTTGGGGGAACAATCTACCCTTTATTATTAGATTATTCAATATAGTTATGCTACAAATGTTTTAAATATTTTAATATCTACTATTATTGTAGGTTACAAATAAATATGATGATTGACTCAAAGTAAATATTCTCTATACACAGTCACTCAGTCAATCAGTAACAACGTGGAATATCGTACGTACGTAAATCAGTTCGAGTTGTCATACCACATTTACACAAAGATACAATTGTCTGTTCAAATCCCATAGTGGTAGAGGTGGTAGAAGTATAAGTAGTAATTGAAAAGATTAAAGTTTGAAAATGTTATTCACATATTATACACATGGTATACACATAGTTCAGTTATATATGTTAATCTTAAATCATCATCATTAGTAACCTTTCATTAACTTGACACTACAATTCAAACATGAAGGTCATCCATTTCTCTCTATCAGTTTCCGTGATTATATTGAAATACGATATTAACTTTGTTCTCAATTTATAATTTTCTTATAAAGGACTAATGATAAAAGGATACTTTTTGAAATAATAAAATTTAATTGGAAATATCTTTAAACATATAACAGTTGAAATTATAAGTCAATTGAAGATCGTAGATGAGCACTGCTGAGGAGTACTATACTAGGACGAAACGATCGTCCATTGACTCATGAACTCAACTATTAAAATGATTATAACATCCACAAAAAAACCCTCATCTGATACTAAATAATATTTATTATTAATAACAGAATTATATTAAAGGTATCAAATTGTCAATCATTAATTACGTAATACCATTAATCTAATAAGAATGATAATACTTCATATTATTTCATCCATGAAAGTAACTTTGTAGAAAAAGGATATTTACGATAGATATTTATTTAATAATTATCTATCATTTACAAAAATGTTACATTTTTAATACTTTGTACATGTTGGGCGTTCACGCGCGAGACTGAAGGCCCTGGGTTCAAATCCTGCGAGCGAGATCGTGGATGGGCACTGTTGAGAAGTCCTACAGTAAGATGAAACGGCCGTCTAATGCTTCCAGGTTTGCAATAGTGGTTTAACATCAATCGGCTCATGATTTCAATCAAAAACATAATATGTGTTATACGGTAAAATAATTTAACGAGATTTTTTCTTCACTATAAAATCTATATGGAAACATTTTGAGTACTGGGTAATTCTAAATGAATGAAATTTAAAGTAGTCTCCAAATCGAATAGATTATTGATTTTTTTCAACTTATACATTTACTTATACTTACTTTATTGTAAATAGATTTGAAGTTGTTTTTCTTACAATGTTTATGTAAAGCCCATTCAGTTATACGTTGATTCTTAGTTTTGCTGTGATCTTAAAATCGATTAAACTATTATCATTTATTCTTTTTTACAAATGTTGTTTATTCAATACTTATCTGATTGGTTCCACCAGTATCCTCTGTTTTCGGTTATTAACTTGGAAGATTTGTTATTAAATGAAATGCAGACTTGTCCATAGGAACTCGGCTTTCATCTATGGACAAGTTTAGATCTACACTTTGTAGACGATCTGCCTCTTCTATCGCAAACGCAACAATAAATGCAGGAGAAGACAACCAGTGTAGCCACAGTCTCAGAACATGTAGGTCTCAACATACACAAAGGGAAAAGCAAGATTCTTCGATACAACACAGCATGCACCAATCAAATTACACTTGACAGAGAACGTTTGGAAGATGTAAAAACCTTTACATATTTGGGCAGCATCATTGATGAACACGATGGATGTGATGCACATGTGAAGGCACTAATGTCAAGACAGTTCTGCTGTATGAAGCGGAAATTCGAAGAACTACGAAAGCCATCATCCAGAACATACAGATGTTTATTAACAGTTATTAACACAATATACTTCGGATCCGTTGGCCGGACACTATCAACAACAACCTACTGCAGAAAAGAACAAACCAGATTGTAGTGGAGGAAGAAATCAGGAATAAGTGATGGAAGTGGATAAGACACACATTGAGGAAAGCATCGAACCGCATCATAAGACAAGCCCTCACTTGGATTCCTCAACTTCAAAGGAGAAGTGGAAAACCAAAGAACACATTACGCCGAGAAATGGAGACAGGCATGAGAAGAATGAACAAGGATTGGATAGAACTAGAAAGGAAGACCCATGACAGGGTGAGCTGGAGAATACTGGTTGGCGGCCTCTTCTCCATTGGGAGTAACAGGTGTAAGTAAGTAAGTAAGCAAGTAAGTAAGTAAGTAAGTAAGTAAGTAAGTAAGACTTGTCCATTACGGTAGCGGTTAGTGAAATGGACTCCAATATTGTGGTGAATACCAGTTCCATTGAGATTTCAAGACAAACTTTCTAGACAGATACCAACTAGGAAAGCGAGTCAGTTCAGAACGTTCGATCAACTTTGATCACCTAACATTAGATAAGATTATGCCACCTAACAATGAGACTATTTTTTAATAGAAAATTTGTGTAGTATAACACTTGACTTATAAGAATTTACACAATATAATGTTTTAACGCTTCATTCTATAATAAAAGGTACTTAAACTGACTTCCTAAAACTTGATCTTTTTATGGTATAATCCCCGAAACGAGGACGAAATAATTGTCTAGTATCATCTGGTTCCCAATAGTTGTATAAGGTAGGTCCGTAATATAAACCAAAAAGGAAAAAAAATAGTTGAGACAGTTTTTGTTATGAACCAGTTGAAGTTAATGAAACATTAGAATCGAGAGAGGCACAGGATAGATATATTAGCTTAGATTAGGACCCCTGTCCACTAATGAAAAAGGATGAATACAAGCATTTAAAAAAAAACCCATTAAACAAGATATAACACTAACCAAAATCTTCATTGATATGAAAGATTAAAATGAATTACAAAAACAATTGTTGCTATGCTTCTTTTGTCAACTATAATCATTATTATTGTGAAAAATTTTTTTAGATATTAACAATAATTCCTAAGAGGATAGATTTCTTATTTATTTAACTAAACCTGTTTCCAAAATAGCCAAAACAGTACTCTTACCCTAAGTAATATATCACTCCTCCAATCAGAACTAAATCAAAACCTGGATATTTATTTTTATTGTGATTGTTCTCTACTATAGATTGAATCAAATTTAAAGGTAACCATTTGACCATATTTTTCTCAAGGCTTTATTTCAATAATGTAAAGTAACAACATTCTTGTAAGAATAAGACATAATAAACCGTTTACCTTCTAATAGGTATCAATTAAATTTTTTTTGGTTGTTCATTCTTTTTTATTGAAAAGTTAACGTAAAATAGAAGTAGTTCAAATTATTATTTACATATACATCAGTATAGGATTGTGGAGATTGTTAAGTTATTATTGAGATCATGA